ACACACACACACACACACACAAACACACACACACAAACACACAAACATGCACACATACTCAGGCTTACAATCACACAATGTTATTCTGATGCATGCTCTGAGGTCATGAATACTTATACAAGATGGTTAAGATGGAAGAATTTTGATGGATGATGGTAAAGATGACCTTCTGTACTTTTCTTTGGTACAGATCAGAAGCCTAGGTCTTTTACTTCTGACTGATGTTTTTATTTGAGGGAAAAAGGAATGTTTGTTGTTTAAAAAGATGGAATTAATTTTCTAGTGCAAGCTGTTATGTACAATTCATCCAAGGAAGGGAATGTAGATGTTGAAATTTTACATGCTTTCCGTATTAATCGATTTAATTTTTCTGTATCTTCTTGTGTTATGTTCCCGCCCCTTGCTGTTATATAAAAATTGATCATACTCATACAGTGTCTCTCATTTGTGTCTATGTTTCTTTATTTCCTCCTCTCAGATCACCACAACTACTCTAAAGATAGAATACAGGTAAGTTTTTTTGTGGAATCAGGAATGGATCCCCGGCTACAGACAGTGAAAAATCTTGTCAGTTTATTAGTTTTTGAGAGTATGCAATCTGCAACTAGCACTGTGCGCTTCCAGGGAAACCCAGAATGTTTCTGAGTGTTCTTGGGACTGCTGGGGTTATAATAATAATAGTTTTTAAGTCCATAGAACTGATGTAGGGCAAGGATATGCGCTATATAAATGCAATTATTATTAATACAGTTAATATCTTGCATGCAGTTGCTCTCACATTATGAAATGTCTTTTGTCCTGACTCTCATCGGAAAGCCTGAAAGTGAGAATAGTGTACTGTAGTCCTGATTAAAAAATTGATCTTTTATTTCCATCCACTGAACAAAATTGATTTGCGTGCAATTAATGGTATTAAGTTTAAAATATGTAACTGGTTTCTTGAACATGTATCCAAAGGCAAGAAAAGCTGTTTGAAGAAAGTAGCGACGAAAATTAACCAACAGTACTTTCATACTATTTATAGTGTATGTTGACTCCTGATTTTTATTGAAGACCACAATAATTGTTTTAGGACACAAAGAAAGGTTGACTTATTCCTTTCAGTTACTTGGATGAAGCAACACACTCAATTTATGGATAATTTTACAGATGGTTGCTTGCAACACTTAAAACAACAGCTGCAGTCATGGAATGCTGGAGTTTGGTACTCTTCTCAGTTCCGTCTCTGGGTGGTTGATTGACGGGTGCTCTCGTGTGGTTTGCTCCTTCTTTACAATCAAACATCTCTCCTCCTTTTTTGTGTATGTTACTCTATTATAACACCTCAAATCTTCAGCACTTATATGACTTAATTATGCTGAAAGTCCCGTAAATTCTTACAAAAACGAATATAAACCGAGTTCAGTGAGTAACTTGTGTGTGTTTTTGTTCCCCAGGAGGATGTGCTCATGAACGACCTGGGTCCGGGTTATGCCCCCTTGGACGAGCCACGACCTCACCAGAACAAGCCGCCGGTGGGTGGCGTCCCGCTCTTCCCTAACCTGGCCCCGGTGAGTGTGGAAGGCTTTTACTTTCTTTTTCTTTTCTTCATGTTTAGTAAACACGCTTGGGGGCTCTTGTGGTCTAGAGATTACTGTATTCACCTCTCGTTCAATGGGTCCCAGGTTCGAAACCTGACTGCAGCGGAAAATTTTCTTTTCTAAAATGTTCTCTGTGGGTGGTTGGCGAGTCCTCTGGTGTGGTTTGCTCCTTCTTTCCTATCAAACATCTATCGTCCTTATCTCTCCTCCTGTTTTATGTTTGTTACTCTCTTGTAACCCCTCTAATTTTCAGCACTTATATGGCCTGATTGTGTTGCAAGTGACGTAAAACACTTATTAAAACTTGTTCTCTTTTCACTTCCTTTCCTGCTCTCTGACCATGCCCTATCATCTGCTTTTGTCTCCACTTTCTGCCCCGCACGCTTATATGGCCTTATGTAGTTCAGAGTGCAGTAAAACACTTACCCCC